CTGAGTTAACAGAGGAGCTGAGTGTGGCTGAGTTAACAGAGGAGCTGAGTGTGGCTGAGTACAGAGGAGCTGAGTGTGACTGAGTTAACTGAGGAGCTGAGTGTGGCTGAGTTAACAGAGGAGCTGAGTGTGGCTGAGTACAGAGGAGCTGAGTGTGACTGAGTTAACAGAGGAGCTGAGTGTGGCTGAGTTAACAGAGGAGCTGAGTGTGGCTGAGATAGGCACCCTGAAGAGACCGACCTGGTGATTTTAAAGGGTTTGAGAAAAAAAGAAGTTAGAGTTCGTGTTTATGTTGGTGCAAACGATTTCAAAATACATGCAGGGAACCAGCAGTTAGCGTAATGGCTATGTCGCTGGACTCCCACATAGTCGCCCGCGGTTCGAATCCCGAACCCGGTGGCTTAAAACCCATGCTGGGTGCATGTGCGTGCATGCCCAAGATCCCGAGAGGATAATGGAGGAGAAGGGATTGCGGCATGACCATCCTCCCTGGGGGGTGATTTCTCGCTTTCTGTCTCTATGTCTCTCCCTGTCTGTCTGGCAAGCGCACACACCCTATAGCGAAAACATCTCAAAAAAAAAAAATGCATAGTTTTTTTATAACACGTTTTCATAAATTTTTGGAAGACCCCTGATTTCAGTGGGCTTATGATTTCAGCATGGTGGTTTCAGTTTCAGCAGTCTTGAAAGGGATGAATAAGCTGAGTATTGAGGAGTCCAATTCCTCTCTGAAAACTTGAGTTCATACACTCTTAAAGATTTAAGAAGATCACTCGGTGTGTGCAAGAACAAACATCTCAAGCTCACTGCTCATCCGGATTGTATGAGCTTCAAAAAGAAGATAGATGCTTCGCTCCCACTGTCCATCTCCTTGATCTGCAGTTATTCCAGGATTGTAGCATCTTAAAGCTCAAGAATTTTTTTCCATAACAGCCAAAACATATTATTACTAACCCAATTCAGCTAGATTTTTAAAAAGTGTCAAATTATTCCTTTAATTATTCTATTTAATTTACGTGGGTTTTTCTTTGTTTTTTTTTTGTTTTTTTTTGTTTTTTTGTTTTTTTTTTTTTTGACCAGGGAGAGATACAGAGGGAGGGAGAGAGAGGAAGCAAGTCACCAGACCTGGGACTTGAACAGCAATCAGCCATGTGAGAATCCAACGCCTTAACCACCACACCACCTGCCAGCTCCAAAAACTAGTAAATTCTGAGCCAGGAAGTGGCATGGTGGTTAAGGTGCTGGCCTCCCAGTGGCCAACCACCATTTGAGTCTCAGATCTGGCAGTTTGCTTTCTCACTTTCCCTTTCACTCTCTGGTGAAAGCACATACCCTATAGCAATTTTAATAATAATAAATAAAATTAATAAGTAATTATTTTAAAAAAACTAGTAAATTCTTAAACTACCTCTCTGGCCAATGCACTAGACAATGGGGGAAAATATGTTCCCTAGGATTTTCTCTTACAAAAATTATTCCTAAAGAAATAAGTCAAAAATCAG